GATGTGAGGGAGCGTGGCACTGTTAGGCTTCTCTCTGAGGTACGGCTCGTTTGCTGCTCGGGGTACAGCTCAAGCAGCAGCACCTGCCAGTTTCAAAGGGTTCCGAGACCGAGTATCCTCAGACAAGGCATCATGGCAGAATAGGGACTCCTCAAATGAGGCCCTATGAGGACATGTGTACGCCGGTGTCTGGGTACAGCCTTTGTAGGACACATAGTAACTGTATTTACACTGTAATCACTGAGCAAATACACTGTATTTATTCATAAGCCAGGCAGGTTGAGCCAGGCAGCTGAATATAAATGAATATAGAAAGGAAAAACTAATGACGTATGTTGTATTTTTTCTGTGCCCTTTGATTTGCCTTTTTCCATTCTTAAAAATTTTAAGCTGTAATTACTATTACATTTTTATGTTATTTGACTTACGTAGTTTTCCTCTTTGAGAAGGTTGCTCCAGTCAAAAGGGAACATGCTGCTATCTAGAAATGAAGAGCAAAGTTTCATTCCCTGCCATTCCATCAACACCCTGCCAAAGAATTTTTTTGAATCATTTGCTGTGGTGAGCAGCAGCAAAATTTTCTAATGAGTCAAAAATTTTCGTCTTTAACTCACTGGTTTAATACTTGTAATTGAAGGATGTTCCCTTCTGAACCTACACCTGCATTACTAGTGCTCAGACCCACCCATGCAGGTAATACAAGAACATCTTGTTAATCTTTTCTGTCCTTCAGTCTTGCTCTGCCGTGCAGGACGTTAAGAGGATAAACTAGTGTTGTGGATGAACTGAGATGAACCATGCAACTCACAGTTTAGCAAAATTAGCTGGTATGGTGCTTAACTTGTGAGAAAATGTTTCCTGTGGTGGAGTACATGTTCCTAGGGATTAGAAAGGTTAGGTTTGGATCTCAGTGTATGTTCTTTATATGTTGAAAAACTATACTATATATAAACGTGTAAACTGGCAAGTATATATGAAGAAAAGGAAGGTTACAAAGTGTGCACAAGACCAGATGCAGTAATAGCTAAGCAATGCCAAGAATAGTCTGAAGTGAAAGAGCTCAGCTCCAGGTTTTTAGAGACACTTTCATAATCCTATCTGAAATAAACTGATGATGAAACTAAGATGGCATATCAAGAAGCAACAGCTTGTTGTATACCTTTCATTTGTTAATGTGCATTCCAAACAACATACTTGAGAGCCCAGTCATTCTTTATGTGCTAAGACTTGATGTTAGGCTTCCAGGATTCCGTTTCTCTTGGTATATTGTCAGTGTCCCTGTGTGTCCTAAAGCAATGCATATTTGCTACAAATTCCTGAATTTTTCACCCTGGTAAACAAGAAAAGTGGTATCAGCTGTTGCAGGTTTAACAGTGTTAAACTCAGTCTTACCAGACTGCAGGGGCCTTTATGTTGCCTTAAAGAGGAAGATTGTGAATCTGTTTCTTCAGCTTGTATTCAACAACATCAATAATAACCTGGCAACTATTGCATGTTTTCAGCCCTTTGATGTCCAAGTATTTTTTAAGCAGCATGATGTCTGTTATCCCTGTTTTGACAAACAAGGAAGCCAAAACCCAGAATATTTAAGCAAATTTTCCATACTCTCAAGACAAAGATGTTCCCAAGCGTGGAACGGAGCAATCCGTCCTGCCCTTCGTTCTCTAAGCCACGCCTTCTCCAATTCATTTTGATTTTCAATTTTGTGCCATGTAACACTGGTTTAATTCAATTAGTTACTAATTTGAAGATGAATAACTGAGATGCCAGCATCTCAAAGTGGGTTCAATCCTGCACACATTTTATTATTAATGTTTTAATTACTTCTGTATCTTTTCTTCCTCAGACAGCTTAACTATACAGCCAAAACTTCAGTCACAGACACATGCAGCTGAAAAATATTGTTGCTTTTCTTACTGCTTTTATTATTAGTGTATTTAGCAGTACTGAACATCTGTATTTTCTGGTATTTTAATTAATTTAAGATATTTTCTCCCTTATTTTCATTATGCAGTCAATACCTGCCTTAACTGTGGTGGCATACCAACAAGAGCTCACTTTGAGAATCTTTATTCCCACCACCCTAACAAAGGATTCCAAAAAAGGAAATTAAATGCAATTTTTTTTTTGAAGTTAAAGAATACATGTACAAATCAGATGCCACAAATGTCTGTTGCATTTGTCTCCAACAAATGCTTGTATTTACGTACTTTGTATATTTACATGCATCTGTAAAGCCATGCACATCAAACATGCAGTGTACAATAATGGATATGCTTACATTTATCTTCTTTGTAGTACTTAAAAGAAATATCAATGTAGAGAATTTTCATCTTGGCTTTTTGGATTTAATAACATAAAATGCAGTAGTTCTTACTCATAAAATACTGTTCTGGGGAAAAAAGAAGTGTCCAATTAACATAGATGTATTTACATCTTACAATACATAAATCTTAGCTCTTACAATGAAGTTGGATATGATACTGAGATTTCTTAAGTTTTTGAATAGTTTAATTTACTTCTCTTGCTGGTGTCTTCTTACTGGCTATTTTAACAATTAATTAATTAATATCACGATTTTCCATTCCTATCAGAGTGGAATGTCTATTTCTCTTTTTATTCCCTCAATTTCTCCTAATTCTCTCTCTCTCACTTCCTCAAATTATGAGAAATGGAGAGTTTATCTCATTTGACCCCATACCAAGACCTGAGGCCCAAATAAATGCTGTGTCATCGTCTGTGAGCACAGTGGACTGGTATGCTCTTATCTTTATATAAATCTTAGATAAAACTGCCATTGATATTAATGGTAGCACAATAGCTTTTATGTACAATTGAGAAGCAATGCTAAATGCCAGAGTTGGTCTCATGGTTTCCATAGAAACTTCTCTCTCTATATAATATAGAGAGTATATAATTCAGAATAGCACCTGGTCTGAGGTTGACAGGCACTTGGAGGGCAAGGGTTTATTTTGAAGGAGCTGATGAAGGAGACCTGAAAAGAAAGCATGTTAACAATAGGTGTTGGTATTTACATCCGTTGGTGATCTGCATCTCCATCAGACCTTTTTTCCTGAATCAGCATTAAAAAATACTGTCTTAATTTTATGAGTACATTCTACTACAGTGTATTTATACTGTGTACTAATATTTAGTAAATAAATATACTACCGTATACTTCTAGTTATATTTCATTAACTACAAGTAAGAGGCAGCATGTTGACTGATATGCTTTTGAGAACAAATCATCCTGAGATACCTGCTGTGTGGCACAGCAGGAGTAGTCCTTGAATATTCCATTCCAGTAGGGTATTGCGAAAGCATTTAGTCAAAACCTTTATTTTCTTTCATTTTTTGCTTCTTCATTGATATGGGAATAATGTTGATATTTATCAATAATAAATAATCATGCAAACTTTAAAAAAGCTTTTAAAAGTGCAGCTATTCTGTAATAGCCCTATTCATAGGATTTTTTTCCTCATGACACATTATATCTGTTTAAGGAATAAAAAAGTTTCACAACATGGTGCCTGATTTATGTCCACTTGTACAGACGTGTGACCTGCACAGAGACAGACCCAACTGTTGCTAAAGGTCTCATGACTGAATGACCCTTTGAGCTAAATTTACCACAGATGCTTTTTCCACACATTGAGCTTAACTTTTATGATTCCACAGGACTCTTCCAAAGGTTCTGCGTTGACTAGGTGATATTTGAAAGATAAGTGCCAGAAAACATGGAGAACAGAAAGCTTAGCAAGAAATCTTACTAACATTCCTTATGCTGTTGTGGAGCACTTTATATGCAGATGACTGGCACAAGCCTGCAGGGCAGTTAGGATCTTTCCTGTTGATACACAGGGTAGTTGGCAATGCATTTTATTGTACTGTTATAAAATAAAGTGCAAAGGTTCTAGGGATCTTTACACACATTCCTGTTTGATGATTTTTTTCATATTGCAATGCGTAGCCGGTTTATCATGTTTTCCTTCCATTTGCCAAGTCTACATACATTTTATAAATAAAATCCTTAGTGTTTGCTTTCATCTATTAACCTGGCTGCTCTACCATCAGAAGTAATATCCTGCAACACTTGTGAAGGCTGTACAAAGGAATGGCTATTATGCATGTAACCACTTGTTGAGCAATAACTTTGCTCTTTCAGTTTGAATACAATTGTAACACAGTTCAGAGCAAATTCAAAGTGTATAATTTAAATGTATTCACTATCCAGTTTTCTGCATTTTTTTTTCCTCTTCTAATGCTGAAATTACCAAATACACTAGTATTTCCTAAAAGGAATTAACTCTCAAAGCTTTTATGATAAGTTTTTTGCTAGAAATCATAAATGCAAGTTTGTTTGGAATGCATAAACTTAATGTATTAATGTATTTATTGCAACAGGAAAAGATCTCTTTCTGCAGTGCAATAAAGAGGACGTCATGTTAGAGTTCTTTGAGGTATTTTGTCCTTCAGTGATTTATAACAATAGCTGTCTCTATGTGTGTTTGACTTTAACGGTCAACAAGGAATTTTATTTTTACTTAACTTCCCCGCAGTGTTTAGAATGTCTTTCAGACAGGGGATACGTTCTGTTTTGTGAAGTTAGACGGTAGTACTTATTCACATCGTGTTTAGGAGAGAAAGAAAGGGAAGAGTTATATTTCTAGATAAGGCTTTTAGTTAATTTGGAATGAAAAATTCTGTTCTTTATTCCACAGAAACTAATTTATCTAGCACGTCTCTAAGTGGAAATTCCCTGCAAACTCACTAATGTTACTGTAACTTACATTCATATTTTCCTTTCATTTATTATCCATCAGTATTGTTCCTTTTTTTTTTTCCCCAAATGTGATTGACCTTTAAACCTGTTGTTATCAAACTGCAAGAAAGAGATAGAGCTCTTTTCAGCTGCCTTCATTCCCATGTGACCTGCAGGGAGAATAGATTCAAAATAGACTAGTTCCTCCCAGGGCAATACAAGACAGAAGAGAAAAGCACTGTCATTTCCGAACAGCACAGTGCTAGAGTAAATTCAGCGTGAAAAAGGAAGGAGTTGCAGCGTGTTAGAATTCTTCCTCCACAGCCTGGATTACTACAGGAGATGGATTTCAAGGGGTTTAAAAAGCAGAGGATTTAAAATTGCTTCGGAATGGATTACTTTGAGAATGAGCTTTGTGAGGACAACTGATGTTTGACTGCTAGAAATACTGAAGGAATTTTTCAAAATGAGCATTGTTATGAAGCCCAGATCCCGATCTACCAGCTCCTTAAGGACTGCCGACGCACTGTGGTAACGTGTTTGGTTTGTTTCTTTCAGGCTCCCCTTCCTATTATGACACACAGACATGACCCAAGAAAGAAACCACAGGGTTTAATTTTTACTTGACTTTGCATGGTTGTTGAAGATGTTCAGATATTACAACTACTAGTAAGAATCAAAATTATTTAGCTTTTTCTTGCACAATCTGTGTAGCATTTTTTAAATGGGACTCCATCACTTTTTTTTTTTAACCCATTACATACATGTTTTCCCATTCAGGTCAGGTTCAGTCCCTGCACTTAAGGTACCTTCTAAGAATCTTCAGTAGCTTTATTTCACGAACAAAGTTATAACATACAGCTTGTAGTTCTGGAGGCTGGAGAGTAAAATGAAGCTGGAGTTTGTGTGAGGTATTTTGGGATACTAACATGTAGTTTTGTTGCATAAATAGGCTGAATGGTAGAGATAAGTGTCCTGGGAGGAGACAGACTTTACAGTGGCATGTGTGAGACTGTGTGCTGTCTTACGCTCCGTGCGTTTCCCCTCATCTCAGAGGCTCAGAGGAGTAGAAGCAGACTGTAATAGAGATCTGTGTGTATGATTTTCTTGCAGATTTTTTCAGTTAGCAATCAGCAAAGTTCTGTCTTTAGATTTATTGTTTTTTCTTGTGGGAACTTCATGCCTTATATAGCTTAACAGGCACTGACAGGGCAGGTTTCTGTTAGGAATGTGAGATAAACTCCCTCTTCTCTTTTAAGGTCTCCCACATTTTTTTCCTCTCTCTGTGTTGTTAATAAAACAACCGTCATTTTAATAAACACATAATAGAGTAATTGTTCAGGGTTATATTTAACTGGTATAAAATGATGTATTTTAAAATATAGCCCTTGTTTAGAAATAAATGGCTGATGTGTTACTGTCAGATAGACTAGTAACTAAATACATGTCTTTGTGAGGAAATATATCAAGTTAATTGAACAGTAGAGTATTAAAAACTTTATGTTTCAAACAGTCTTGATTCTGAAATAAAGCCATGTCAGTCCTACCATTAAAGCAGTTAGTAATTTTTTCCAGTTATGCTTTGTTAGGACCATTTTGTATTAAAAGAAAATTAAATAACTATACTACTCAGTCTGAAGAGTAGTCCCAGTTGTTCCCAGAAACTCCTAAGGAAGAGTTTTGCTGAAGTGACTGCAGTAAGTTGCGGCTCTAAATCTTTATTAAAATGTAATAAAGTAGTGCAATGTCGCTGAAATATATATTGCTAAAGTGTTACGCTGTGTGGAGTGTCTCCAAGGTAGTGAGCTAAAACATACATGGGTTAATTATTACGTACAGCTGTGCAAATAAATCAATATCTTTCTGATTAATTCTTCCACCTTTCAATTATTTCCTTTTTGACTGGTTCAATTGATTGTTGCAGGAATAAAAGGAAAAAAAGAATCCTCGTAGCCGGTAGGTGCAGGCTGGTTTGACCACCAAATATTCTGTCTACAATACCTGCCTCCCTCCCTTTTTGTTTCTGATGTCTTTATGTAGTTATAACGTTCATATGGCGGGCAGAATACCTGCTCTGCAGATTGTGAGTTGGGAGTCCCCTGCTGCCCTGCCGTTTGGAAACACTACCTGAGCTGGGAAGTGGCTCCTGGGGAGGTTCTTGGAGGCTGACTAGGCAAGGCGCATGCTGTTCTCCGGCAGCGTGGAGGGAAGCCAGGTGGTGGCAGCTCAGGCCAGCCCGCCCTACCCACACCACCCAACCGAGCAACCTTCAACCCACCGTGGCCTGAGCAGGACCACTTTCCAAATCCTCTGCATGACTTTGGTTGGTGTTCTTAATCACCAGACTCAGGAGTCTGTGGGTTTGTCCCCGTGGGGCAGGATAGTAACGCGTCAGTCTTGACAAACTGAAATGCTTCGGGACAAGTAACATGATGAAGTCAGGAGCCTGACGGATGTTCAGGCCAGGAATCAGGGAGAGCTACAGCACGTAATTCTGCTTTCTTTATCTGTTAACATAGTGATCCCGCTGAATGTTGGAGGAGCAGGGGTGGCTGGGGGGAAGGAGAAGATTGGAGAATGTGAGAAGAATTGGGAGGTGGGGGAGGGGTGTGTGTGTGGGTCCTGGGAGCACAGGGACTGAGTGACAGGGTTGTACTGTAGTATGGATATCCCTCTTGCAAGCGTTTGAGAGAAATGGTCCCAGGATGTCCTTGCTCAGCAGTTTCCCATGGGGAGAAAGTTCCCATGAAGAACAGAAACCAGGCTTCCAGCATGTGGAGGGTAGAAGCGACCAGTGAGAGGGTAGAAGAGACTTAAGAAACAAGACAGAGAAATCTCTGTTCTTGGGTCCCTGAAATGATGTTCACCCTCTGTCCAAAACATGCAATAACTTAAGCATATGTGCTAAAAGCGTGTTATGCTTTTCAGTAGCGATGTTAAGAAGTACCCGAAGGGTATGAGCAGCTGGTAGTGTGCAGAGGTGCACTAGCTGGCTTTGAGGAGGTGCAGGTCAGACCATGCTGTGCTGATGCTTCCCCTTGCGAAGTCAGCTCGGTCAGGGCTGGCTGCTGCTTAGCGTGACAGTAGGGTCTGTAGGCAGACCTCCCCTTTCTGATGCACCTTGGAAAATTTCTCATGACATTATGCTGACTGAAGTCACAGGAGATGGTTGGTATCTGTGCAAAATAAGAAGGTGACTTACTTCAGGGTTATTATGCGTTACGTTAACGTTGCTCAATTGTGCTACTCATTCCTACTCATTCCTAACTTCAGGATGCAGTTCTAAGGTGTGGTTGTGAATCAGAACATTTCTGGGGAATAGTCCTAAAGGGATAAACGATGTTACAGACTTTTCAGTGAAGATGATTGGTCTTGTTATTTCTGAGAAGGAATAACAAGGTAGTAAGGAAACTCACGGTAAGGTACAACAGTGGCCAAGACAGGAGTGCCCGCATTTAAATGAGAATATGACTCCACTTTCTTGTCTATTTGCCACTGAACAGTAGAGCAGCAGTGTTCACAGAAAATGATTGGGGGTGGGCGTGAGGTGGGGAGTGTATTCTTTTGTAATAAAGGAAAAGTTTTAACTTACAAAGAATACTACTTTGGTGGAACTGAATTAAAATTTTGGAAGGTTAAGAGAGGAACAGATGGCAAGTCAAGCAAGCAGTCAGGCTTGTTGGACATGAGCTTAATGGCTGGAAGAGGTGCAGCTGATCAGATTTTAGAACTTCTTTATTTTTTCATGGTACAGATAATCAGCCAAAGAGCTAATAAGCCCGAGGAGTATTGTCAGCTTTTTTTGCCACAGTCCTTTCTGCATGGTGTGTCCAGAGTTGATAGTTATGTGTTTACTTTGGGGTTGACCTTCCTCTATTTATTTTTTGAAACATATGGCAATTCAGGCTTTCCTGGTTTTTTGGAACTTAGGGTTGGCTGATCTGCAGAGGGCACATCCCAGCTTCATTGCTGCCACTGAGAGCAGAGGCCTTCAATGATTCAGCCTGTGGTATTCTGTAGAACAATGTGTCTGTTCTTATTTAACTCCAGAAGTAGATGATAGTGCTTGTCTGTGGTATCATGAGGTTTGGTAAACTGGAAATTTCTGAAGGATGCTGTCAAGCATGACTTTCTCAGTCTCTAACAAATTTATCCATAAGTGGAACAAAAATGATCTGTTGAATGAGCTTTTCATGACTCTACCCTTAATATGTAGATCATAGTACAGATGCTAAATAAAGGTTCTATTGAACGGAAACACAAAAAACGCTTGTGGCCTGACATCAGTAGATAGTGCAGTTTCTGGGGCAGAAGACCTAGGACAGAAGAATGGGATGAGATCCAGCTGTACTGACCTGAGGTAGCAGTCTTCCTGACTTAAAGGTCAGGAAGAAAATCCGCCATGAGTGTCACCTAATCCCCTGGTACCCATGTCTGGCAGGAGGAAGCTGTGGCTGCATCACACTGCCTAGAGATTGTCCATCCCAAAACAATTCTTGGTTAATTGCTTGGTGCTAGCAAGCCTATTGCTCGTATTAAGATGATGGATATGTAGGATAAATGCTATTGAATGAGTCATATACCTCTAGGTTATTGGCATCAGACCTGCATTTGAAGTAACTGCTGACTTTCAGACTGGGAATCCCAGTGCTGGTGAGATCAAGAGCAAAAAGGGTAGTCTTTGAAGGAGACTTGTCTAGAGGGCAAAGAACAGTATGTAAATGTAACTGTGAATAGTATTAACAGCATGCATACCACTTGGCTGTTGAAGAGGTAAGGGGTTTTATTTGAGTACTGGATTAATCTTTTTTCCTCTCCAGTATTATGATTGTATATGGGAGGCAAGTGCCTGTTGTCATTGTTGGCAAGATTACCTGTCCCCTGTTACCATAGCTTATGAAACTACTCTCAAAAAGAGGGTTCGGACCCCACATACTTTCTGATTACACTTTTCGTCGTTGATGATGTTGAATACAGTCGGTTTCTGTTAGGAAAGTTCAATGCAAACTGCACAGTGTCCATACTCACAGGGACGCTGAACTACCAGATACCATATGCAAAACTGGGGGATTTCTATACACTGAACAAAACCTGAAAGCTAGAGTTGACCTTTCCTGCATAAACTTAACTTTGATGGAGTCTGTAGGTAGGTGCCTTCCTTTAGCAAAGTAGGCTTTCATAAGCAGTATGGGCTATAAATCATGACAACCACAGAAATTTGAGATGGTATATGTGCTTTTATTTATTCTGCCAATAGTGCTAATGAGGAAGCATGCTTAATCAGCACTGCACTATTTTCCAGAGTGTGGTATGTTAAACACTGTTATTTTTACAAAATAAAATGGGAACAAATACAATTTTCTGTACTGAATTAAGGGTGGACTGTGAGGTGGTCAAGTATTCTGTAACAATCTAAGACATGTCCCCCTGGGCCTGACCAGAGCTCTACCTAACCTAGTATTCTGCCTTCATCTGCAATGGTAGCACATGAAAGCCCATCCGGTGTCCGCAGTCCATCCCGTCATATTGCC